ATGCCTAACGACGTGAAATATTATTTTGATCTAATCAAAACTGATAAATTAAAGTACCCTTTTAATTTATCACAAATTCACAATCGCCGTCTCAGATTGACATCTAGCAATGTATCAGGGCAACACATGTGACGAAAAATGTCACATGGTCTGACGAAACCAAACCTTTTCGTTTACCATGAAACTATAATCCCTTCGTCAATATGATCCGATCAATTATGAGATATGAAAGTGTGTCAATCTCGATTATCGATCATATCTTTCATTCTACTATTAAGTCAATATGAGTCGAAAACTCGTTTTCGACTTACGTGTATACATTGGCCAATGATTTCGTTATTGACTTAATTGAATGAAATGCAGATCACAATCTCTTACTATCTAAGAGTGACAAATCCTCTATTGGTCATTCACAACCTTAATATGATTCTTGAACACCCGAACCATGTCGTATTAGCAGCTCTTGGTAGAGCAACATCTAACATAGTCAAAGCATGACTGTCCCCATACAATGCACTATGATAACATCAAGTCAAAGGACCAATTCCAGTATCGAACGTTAGAGATTAACCACTGATACTCAGCTAGTTATCCATGTGGAATCTCTTAGCGGGTCTCCAATGTTTTGTTCTATGACAAAACATTCATACGTTCATTTAAGTGTCACCACACTTTAACTTGTGAGATCAGCTACCTACTTTACAAGTAGGAAATGTCACACTCGATGGTCTATCTGTAATAACGATATCCGTATCTCGTTATTACTTACAACCAGGATTATTCAAGATCCAATCATACGTAATTTGTATCTCACAATCTATACTTCTTGTGATTAACAAATAACTTAAACTTGAATCTTCGGACTCTATTATTTAATATTGTTTATCATAAAATTAATTTAAATAAATAATATATCTTGCCAAAATTAAACACATTAAATATATTAAAAGTGTTTACAACCTAAATCGATTGGATCTAGAGCATAACACTTACAAAAGTACCCAAAGCAAGCCGTTAGAGTAAATTTCAAATGGTTGTATAAAAATATGATCCAATATAAAAGAATTCGGACAACTTCTCTTTATAAAATTAACGTTTTAGAATGGAACTACATTCTTACTATTTGACATCGTGTGGACTATGGTTCAAATGATTTATTTATCTACAAAAAAAAATGATCTACCAAGTAGCATTATTTTGTTTATAATAAACAACAATGACACAGCATATCAATTAATTTGTAAATAAGTTCTTGACAAAGATTCCAAAAATTAAATGTTTCATCAATTTATTGGTGAATAAGTGACATGTTCCATGTCACAATTATTTAACAAGTACAAGAGCACGAGCATGAACATGAGCTAAGCAACAATTTTTGGCTAATTAGCAAAAAATGTCCCTATCCTTTGCATTCATTGCTAAAATAGTCCATATCGTTTCAAATTTGGCATTTGTACCCTCATTTCAAACCTTTCTTGTGAATGTGGTCCTTTCCGTCCCGTTCCGTTAATTTCACCGTTAAATAAATGCACAAAATTCACACACATTATTTGGAAAAGGTAAATTAGTCAAGTCACTATAATTGTTTGGGGGGAAGTTCTTGTAGTTTGCATAGAGTTTATACTGTGGCCAACAAAATTCCCAAATCGATTAAACCACACCAAACCTCACTTTTCCAAAATCTTCTAAAGAAAAGAAGCAACCCTTTGAACCCATTACACTACCACCTTCCCTCTGCCATCCCGACACCGGCAATTGTAATGTCGACGCCGATAAGTTTTATTTCCTTTCCAATGAATCAATAAACTGTTGCCTACATTCCTTATATTGTTCTTTCTTTGTTTAGATTGATACTCATTAGTCTATGAAGGGATGATGAGTGTTATAGCATCTATTTATAAGAGTAGGGAGAGTCCTTGAAATTCACGAGTCACGACACCTACTATATTTGTTATAGTTATTTCTTTGCCATCCCGACACCTACTATATTTGTTTCACATTCACGAGTCCTTGAAATTCTGGGATATTGTAATGGTAAAATGGATGTTAAGATAGTGTCAAGAATGCGGCAGAAATGATTTGTGAAGATGGGTGTGTTGCTGGTCTAGATATGAGACGGATGGATCATTAATTATTTCCATTTATCTTAACAGATTTTCATAGTTGAATTGCAATAGTTATTGAAATTTTATAAACATTTATTTTATAAACAGATATGTATATACAGATTTTATAAATAGGTTTGTATAAACAGATTTGTATGTTTATTTACATTCTTTTAAATTGAGTGAACATGAAATGTTTATTCACCAGTTTAGTTAAATCTAGCATACTAATATTGTCTTCGTTCTTTGTGCTGGAATTTTTAGTGTGATGCTTCATATCAACCTCCAAATGAACATGCTGACATTGATAGTTCTGGAAGGTCTGATCCAATCAAAGAAGGATGTTATGTGCCTGATATTGAATGCGGAGATGAGCTAAATCAAGAATATGATTGGGATGATAGTTTTTCTTATACAAATCAAGATATAATTTGGTCACAAATGGAGGAAACCATGACATATCATGTTGGACGAAATGTAACTAATTATGATGTCAATAATACAATTGAATCACATGATGGTGTAAATGAAGTACAAAATGAAGAGCAGCAAGGAGTAGAACTGGATAATGTACTTATCGATTCTGACTGTGAAATAGATGAAGAACCTGTTGACAATGCTGGAGTTGATCATCCAAAAATGAATGTGGATTTTGGATTTGGTTTTATAAATGAGCAGGAGGTAAGCGATTCAGACACAGACTATAGCGACTCAGATGAACTAAGGAGTTTGGATAGTAATGAAGAAGGAGAAGAAGGCACTTCCCAAAAAAGGATAAGGAGGGAAGTATTCAATCCCAGGATAGATATGGAGGATCCAATATTCAAAGTTGGTAAGTAATGAAACTATAATTATTGCCTTCAGTTTTCTAACCAAATTTTTACACTACTTTTTCTAGATTGGCAGGGCAAATATTTAAGTCAAAGAAGGTTTTGAAAGATGCTATTACTGAGCATTAAGTGAGGCATAATAAGGAGATCAAATATTTGAAGAATGATGCTAAGAGGTTGAGAGCTACTTGTAAACAAATATGCTCATGGATTTTGTATGCAACAAAGCAAGAGGATAAGTTAAGCTTTGAAATTAAGACTTTTGAAGGTGTTCATAGTTGCAGTATGGTGTACAAAAATAGGAGAGTAACTCCAACATACTTAGCAGGCAAGTATGCTTCTGATTTCAAGGCTGAACCTAACATGACATTTGATGGATTTATGGATAAAGTTAACAAAGCCAATTTAGGGGACATATCTATATGGAAGTTCTATAGGACTAGGGAAAAAGCAATGGAGAAGATAAGAGGGAGTGTTGTAGAGCATTATAGGGTATTGGTTGATTATTGTCAGCAATTAAGGTTGACAAATGTTGGGAGTACAATTCAATTGGAAGGGCGTGCACGAGAATTCAAGAGGCTTTACATATTTTTAGGAGGATTAAAGAAAGGTTTCATTAATGGAAGTAGGAGAGTGATTGAGGTGGATGGTTGTTTTTTCAAAACAGAACATGGTGGGTAGTTATTAACTGCAGTTGGGATTGATGGCAATGACGGAATGTATCCAGTTGCCTATGCAATGGTGGAGACTGAGAATGGAGAAAATTGGAGCTGGTTTTTGACATTGCTGAGAGATAACTTAAGGATTCATAACTCCCATGGATGGATATTCATTTCGGATAAACGGAAAGGGTTGGTAAATGCATTTGGATCACTCTTTGAACATGCAGAGCATAGAACATGCATTCGTCACTTGTATAATAATTTTAGTGCTATTCATAAAGGCCTAGCTTTAAAAAATTGTTTGTGGGATACAGCGAGAGCAACAACAATTCCAAAATGATTAGAACACATGCAAAGGATGCTGGATTTGGACCCAGCAGGATATAGATCGCTTGAGTTAAAACCAGCTTTTCAGTGGACTAAATCACACTTCCAAGAAGGGACTAGATGTGACATGTTATTGAACAATCTATGCGAATCTTTCAATAGTACATTACTTAATGCAAGAGAGCATCCAATATTGACGATGCTAGAAGAAATTAGGGTGTATTTGATGAAAAAGATTGTAATCCAAAGGGAAGCTTGTGGAAAATGGAATGGAGAAAGTGGGCCTAGAATTCAAAAGATATTAAACAAGAATGGTGAACTCGCAAGGAGAGAGTATGTAGATTACTCCGGCAATGGAAAGTTCCAAGTCAGGCATAACATTGGAACCCTAAATGCAGTAGATATCAAAGCAAAAACTTGTTCTTGTTGAGTTTGGTAGTTGACTGGGATCCCTTGTTGCCATGTGATTGCATCCTTAATTTCAAGGGAAGTGAAGGTTATTGACTGTATAGATGACATATACAAGAAGGCCGCCTACATTAGAACATATACACCCTCTATCTCACCCGTGACAAGTCCAGATTTATGGCCTAATCCAGGTCTTGATCCCTTGAATCCACCTTTCTACACCAAAAAGGTCGGGAGACGAAAGAAAGCTAGACGAAAGGAAGCTAATGAACGTGAAGGTATGGGTTCATCAAGTAATGCTAAAGCATCTTCAAGCAATGCTAGGATATCAACAGGAGATACAAGTAGGGTGGGGTTGAAGATGAAGTGCAAGAAGTGTGGACAAATAAGTCACAACAAGAGAACCTGCAAGACTTTGCCACAACCAAATGCTACCTGAGGATGTGGGATACCTAAAATATTTTTGACTTTTGACTGCTGCAATCATTTTGTAGATCTAATATCTTTCTAATAGCTCAATGCAATATACATGGCAGGCAATTTGGCATATCAAAAATATTGAGATCATGTTTGGTTGGTTAACAATGTAATTATCTATTATATATAGTAGGTTAGTTTTTTTTTCTTTTTTTTTAAATGGTATTTTGTATTTATTTTAGTAGGTTAATATTGAGAACTTGTACTACATAGCTTCTCAATGGTTATTTGTGCTAACTGGTTATAGGGTTGGGTATGATATTTGCCGACAACGTTTTGAGATGGAGTATAAACTTGTAGATTATATCAAACCATAAGGATGATATTCACCAAAAACTTTTAGAGGGGAAAAATATATAGTAACTTGACTAATTTACCCTTTTCAAAAAACTTATTTAACGGTAGAATTAACGGAACATGACGGAAAGGACCATTTTCACAAGAAAGGTTTGAAATGAGGGTACAAATGCCAAATCTGAAACGATAGGGACTATTTTAGCAATGAATGCAAAGGATAGGGATATTTTTTGCTAATTAGCCACAGTTTTTAGTAGAATTAATCTACTCAACTAGGGAAATGGGACAGGAAAAATTGACGGTATGATATGACAGATTCTGATTTGTCTATTTTTTTTAAAAAACTTCCATCTTCCAATAAATGAATGACAAGTGTTGTTGGTCACTAAACCCTTATCAAATTTCCTTGTCAATGTAGCATAGCTGTAGTATATTGTTTTTCATCCAACACATACATCTCAAAAGAGAGAAGATGACACAATGTAATTTGTGTCTGTTATATTGAAAAAATAATTTTTAAATAATATACGTAGTCTTGATTGTAAGCTGCTATATCAAGTGGTTCAACATAATATTAGAGTAGACAAAGATTTTGAGTTCAAATCTCATTGTAACTCATTTAAATGAATTACGCAAGTGTTAAGTTTTGATGGGGAGGAAAAAAAATGATTTCGCTTATACATGAAGGAGCGCGTTGAAGAAAATATTTAAATCATATTTCTTTGAGCATGTTTGATAGCTTAAGCCCTTGTTTTTTTTTTCTTTAAAACAAAATTTTTTAATTCTCTTACTCATTTTCGATCACACGTTCACATAATAAAATATTTTGCACGTAAATTCGAAATTTTTCCTACTTTTTAACCTCAAATTTTTTTCAAAAAAATCTCTATTTAAAATATTATTCTTCTCAATAATGGCCATCAAATAGAAGCTTAAATTTGATTAAAAAAAATAAGAATAACGCTATTTAAACATAAAAAAGTTACATAATGGTTTATCTACAGATAAAGTGTCAAAGAGAGACGAAAAGGTTTTTTTTTTTTTTTTTGGTTGAAGGAATTATGAGCTAATCATATCTCACTATATCATATTTATGTAAACTATTATGTAAATCTATTAAACATATAGTACAATCGAAAAAATGATATCACCTATACGCTAAATGTGTGTTTAAAATAATATTTAAATCGTATACTTTTGACATGTAATAATTTAACCCTTGTTTGGGCCTCATTTTGGGGGAAAATGAATTTTTAAATAATGTATTAATGAGAAATGTATGATTTAAAAATAAGAAAAAATTTTGAATTTATGTGTAATATTATTTTATTGAAGAGTGTGTGACTAAAATGATATCAAAACACTGTTTAAGAATTTTTTTTTTTTAAAGAACAGAGCTGAAACAGAGGTTTAAAATTTTTAACTAAGTGACTTAACGGATACATGTCGAGCACAAAATAATTAGGAAATATGAATTAGCTAACTTAATGAAGCATTAAAGAGGCAGCTCAAATAATAATCATAATAGTACTCAATAAGATTCAGTCCTAATTTTTAGGGGCTATTTGGACCCGATTTTTTCACCCAAAAAATTGATTTTTTGATCGTTATTTTACTATTCTAGCCGTCATATTTGACTTCTTTTCTCACATGTGGACCTCACTTTTCTCCTAACGGTCAAAAAATCAATTCTCAAAATCACTCCCAAACAGACTCTCAAACTCAGTTAGCCCAATCATGTTAACTTGCGTATCTGCCACTCAAAAATCCAACGTCACTGACATTACAATATTTTAATCAAATTTTATGTGGCAACCTGCTCAAGGGAAAGGGCAAGATTCTTCTGCCATTTTCAATTATACTATTTAATTTCGTCTTGCCTCTATATGTAAAGAAGTGCCATGGCAAAATTAATCGTTGATAAAACTTAATCACAATCTCAAGTTCCAGAAAATAAATGCCAAAAAGTAATATTTAAATCCTTGTGGGATAATAATCCAAATGGTCACTGAATATGGAATCACTAAACTTTAAAAATCACTACATTCATCACTATACTTTGCAATTTGTAATCCCGATCATCACTGACCTAACAATCAGTCAAAAATTTGACAGAATGCTGATGTGGTTGCATACGTGGCACAATGTCTCGAATGATTTGGCATCCACGTATGCAGCCATTTGGGGTTAGTGATGAACGGAATTACAAATTGCAAAGTCTAGTAACGAATGAGTGATTTTCAAAGTTCAGGGATCTCGTGAAAACATTTTGCGAAGTTTAGTGACCGTTTGAGTTATTATTAACACATTTTCTAATAAAATAATATTACAACTAAATTCAAAAATTTTCTTTATTTTTAAACCATACATTTTCTAAAAAATCACTGTTCCAAAATATATTTTTCCCTCATCCCTGCCAAAAAATATAAACAAATAAAAAATTTGAAAAATGAATTTTGGAATAGTAATTTTTAAAATTTTTTTTTTGTAAATATGCCATTGAAAATGATTAGTATTTAGTCATGCCTTTTTTCCTACCGGCTATTAATTTTTTCAAAACTTATTTATTTATTTATTAGTTTCATTTTTTTCATTTTTTTTTTATTTTTTGGTTGCAGAGTGAAAGGGAAAATATATTTTGAAATAGTAATTTTTTGGAAAAAAAATGCATGGTTAAAAGATAAGAAAAAATTTAGGGTTTACTTGTAATATTATTTTATTAGAGAATGTACGGATAATAACTTAAATGGACGAGGTCATTGCACTTAAAAAATCACTCTATTTATCACTAAAATTTGCATGGGTAATCTCGTTAATCACGATCTAACGTGGTTACATACATGGATGCCAAATCAATTGAGACATAATGCCATGTATGCAATCACGTCAGCATTTCACCAAATATTTGACGGAACATGAGGTCAGTGATGAACAATATTACAATTGTAAAGTTTAGTGATGAATGTGGTGATTTTTAAAATTCAATGATTCTGTGGAAACTTTTTACAAAGTTTAGTGATCTTTTGGGTTATTAACCCTATCCTGATCAATTTTCGAGCAACTTATATGAACACTTCAATTTTTGGTCGAGATGAAATCAGCAGTATATTTGATAAACCAACATTGTTTATGACTATTAATTAACCATATTGAGATTAAATTTGATTTAGTTTGTGCAGCACTGTAGAAAAAGTGGCTCGATAACAAAAGGTTGTGAGTTTTTCATTTTTAAGTTGTCTAATTTCTACTCTAAATAGCTAATTCGAAGATGGATTTAAGATCGTATAAAGTTCATTTATAATTCACCAAATTACTAATTAAATTTATTTTGAATTTTCTTTACAACTTACAATTTTATTAAGTCACGATTTAAATCCGTTAACAAGAATATGATCTCTTTCAGAAAATATTTAAATTTCCCCATTTTCAATATATTAGATGTTCATTGGATCAGCTTGTCATGAAATTGTCGCTCATGTTTCAAACTGATTCAATATTCTCGATTACTCGATACAAGGTAATTTTTATCCTCATGTGTTGGCTAAAGTTTCAATTATTTCCTCTATTTTCAAAATGTCAACGCTTCTATTTAGTTTTTGGTGTAATTGGTAAGCTGGGTTATCAAAATATGATATTAAAGCCTACTTTAAAAATTAATTTATTTTATAATTTAATAGAAACAAGGAAATTTAAAGTTTTATTTGACATATTGCTCTTCTTTGGTACTAATTATTTTTAAAATATATTTCTCTCTCTCTTATTTTAACCCACGCCATTTTTCAATAAAATAATATTACGCGCAAACTCAAAATTTTTCCTTTATTTTTTAACTACACATTCTTCATCAAAATACTATTTCAAATGCATTTTCATCAAAAAAAATGGGACTCAAACATGTTCAATTATTTAGTTTAATAGTTTTACTTCCAAATCTAGAAACCTGGAAAAGTATGTTAAAAGTTTGGAACCTTTTGTTAATTGGGATGAGGATCAAGCAAGGGTTAACGATTTTGAAAGCCAAAAAATCAAACTTAGCTAACAAGTTTAATATATCGTGGACTTAGTTAAAAATGTTATTAGTGGATCAAGTAGAAAGTAAAATGATCAACACCAAAATAAATCATAAATCATCTCGGTCAACCATGTCGATGGAAGTCTGGAAAAGACTAAAGAGGTTTCATTTTCAAGTGCAATTAAGCAAAATGTAGAATGTGAATGTATGCCACTGTGGGAACAAGTTGACTCCAAGGTTGGTCATAGAGAGACAATGAACAAAATCCAGTTCAGCAATTAATTAATTATGTTTCGAGTAATATGAGTATAGAATATGTCGAAAGTGTTTTTGGACACATTTATGGTGATTATGACAAAACTATGTGATATTTCAAACTAGAGGTTTGCTGGACTCCGAACTCCGATCTAAACTAAAAATGAACATCTAATGACTATCGTGTAAAAGTGCAGGTTGAATAACCAAGGTCAGCTCAGACCAATGATCATCGTAATCCTAGAAAATATCATGATTGTAGATTCTCTGCCATACTATTAATCCAGCCAACCCCCAATCAACAAAGGATATCTAGCAAGTGTGACGTCTAACACCTCTTTTTCCCACCAATCAGTTGCAGGAGCCCTTTGTCCGTTGTTAATTGATTATTATTTTTTTATTATACTACAAGGCAACGTCATGATGATCTGATGATGGCCAACTCGATGACCAATCAAAGACAAGATCATCGGCACGCCTCCCTAGCTTGAAACCGTAGCTGATTTGGTTGACAAGACCCATACCGGCCAAGGGAAAGTTCTTCCTCCGTATAAATAGAAGCCAATGGTCCCTTTCAAGAGGAGGCAAGCAGAATTGACTTAACATCTCAAAAAAATAAAACATAAAATAAATTTGCGACTAAACACTTTTCTTCCGTATGGAGCGACCCAACGATTGTACTCGGGAATTATTGTAAATGTATTTTCCATTGGATCAAAAATTATCTCGACGATTTTTGACGTCAACAAGGTAAAATAATAATAGTTGAGATTTGTTGTCAGTTGTTCAATTTGTCGTTCACCCAATAATTCATTCACGCATCACTTTAAATTAACATGTTCAACTTTTTTCACTGTCACTTGCGCTTAAAAATTAATGTAAAATGATGTGTGAATGAATCATTGATAGGCAGTAAATTGGTTAGTCAATTTTTTACAGTAGATCTCAACTCCAATAATAATTTCACAAAATTCCTTTTTTGCGACTCTAAAATGGACACTCGCATATGGTTGCAGTGTGTATTACTAATGAAGTGCAACTTAGTGATCTTTTATTGTGTAATCCTCATCTCTAGATAGGTAAGTTTTTCATTGCAAATGCAATTAGCCATGGAGGATAGATAGAACCATCCGAAGTCTGTAATTTATTTTTATTTCTTGTTATTAATAAAGCTATAATTTCAAGGAAAAGAAACTTGGCAACTCCTGTTTGCATGAGCGGCATGTGTCGAAAGATGCCGCAAACAGCCTGACAACATTTTTCTGTGTTCTCACCTCACTTATTTCACCATTTTCTAGCAAACAGATTGGAACCCTGAATTCTGTTCCAGTCTGGATTTGGCATATTATTTATATCTATGGCATCATCTGTATTTATTATTTTTAAATTCCTTTTATCATCACAATAACAAATTCAATAATAGAAAATAGTTCACCATTTCTTTAGTTCCATAGCAGAAATGTTGGAGATGAACGTCTTGCACTGTTTCTTGATTTGTTCAGACTATATAGAAGTCATAAAAAGAAGAAGAAATGACAAGTTGGCAACATTTATATATGTTTCTTGATTTGTTCTCACAATATAGAAATCATAAAAAAGAAGAAGAAATGACAAGTTGGCAACATTTATATATGTTTCTTGATTTGTTCTCACAATATAGAAATCATAAAAAAGAAGAAGAAATGACAAGTTGGCAACATTTATATATGTTTCTTGATTTGTTCTCACAATATAGAAATCATAAAAAAGAAGAAGAAATGACAAGTTGGCAACATTTATATATACAAAATATTACTTCTCTATTTATTCTATAAAAGAAAAAGAAATACAGAAATGGAAGTACTGAAAATAAACTCTACCATTAAGAAAAGAAAAATGGAAAAGGACATTATGCCCTGAAGAGTAAAGACTTGTTTGAAGCTTTCTTATCAGACTTCACTATCGGTCATCAGAGAGCTCTATCGCTGTGGACAGATGATTGCTCAGCATCGGATTGAATCCCAGAGTCAATTCCAATCCAATATCATCGTTTTCAGTATGATGGGGCTCCGGTTTAAAGCCCGTACCCGGGTTCAGCAACAAGGGTTCTACTGTTTCAACAGAGTAGGAGTCGTACTCGTGACTAGGGGGTCTCTTCAACTGATCCACAAAAGCTTTGTAATCTTCGCCGCAATCCCATCCTGTGATAGTAAATTTCTCTTCCGTCTCGTTCATCAACTCGGCGGCGGCCACCACTGAGTGTAGGGGATTGTTGATTTCCACTGCGGAGCGTTTACGGGTCTTGAGGTGGTGGATGGGTTCAGGGGTAGCGGTGTTCTTTGAGAGGTGGCGAATGTCACAGCCCTGTAGAAGCGTGATGGGGGGAGCCTGGATTGCGCTGGACTGATCATTAGTATCAGAAACTTGCACTAACGGAGCGCCTTTGAGCACCGCCTCCACCGCCGCCTGGCACTCCTGCCAATTTCCCGACCACATCAATCCCACAGATCCGTAAATGGGATTGATGATCCTCCCACATGCTTCATACAACAGCGACCTAAAAATCGCTGCACAGACCAATCAACCAAAAAAACTTTTAACAAGTTTTCAACGCAACATAAAAGCATTTTACGATCAGCCCTTCTTGTGGGTTTACATATATGTACCTGGGCGGAGATTAGCAGGACCGGAATTGATGAGATTAATAAGTCCGGTGCGGCCGTAGAATTTGGCAAGGAAGAGAGTGGCGTTGGCTTGAGATTCAGGGCATTTGATCCATTGAAGGCAAGGTCTGAGATTGCAATCACCCCTGCAACCTTTGCGAAGGACTCTGCAACCGTTGCAACTCATTTTCATGATATTCTAGAGATAGAAAGAGAGAAAATGCATATGAAGAAGAAGAAAGGGGGACGAGGGAGTAATGGTATAAATGTTGACGGGGAGGGAAACACGCAGTGAAAATGTTTTAAGAATGGGATGTAACTAGGGATGTCAATTGGGCCGAGTCGGCTCGCAACTCGCCGGCTCGTCAGAGCGGCTCGTGGCTTGTAAAATGACGAGCAAAACGGTTTTTGGTCACTTTTTAGTGACCGTTTTGGTCACTGAACTCCCCCCCCCCCCCATTTTTTTCCTATAAAAATACATTTCC